AGCGCCAGTGGTTAGCCCGCTGGGCCGTGAGCCTGGGACTGGAGTTTGATTCGCAGCCACAGCTGACATCCATGCGAGTGATATCTGAAAGCTATCCAGCATGAAGTACGGGTAAACAACCCCCGTGGCTGACAGGGCGTTGGAAGTCTTCATCGAGCAGTGGACTGGCAAAGGGCTGTCAATGCACATGCGTGCCCTCTGGAGGTGGAGCCCAGTATTGGGAGAACGAGTTCCAAATTGGTTTCTATCCAACATTATTCACATTTTTCCCCTCTTGGACTTGAAGGCAGATTCTAGTCTGCTCACATCATTACGCGCGTGCGTCTCTCCTTCGCTTTACAGCTTCCTCGCCGCACCTTCCCCATCTGCCCTTCTCATCTTCCCCCCCCTCCGCTCTCCTCTCTCGCTCCCCACTGCTCTTCATGCTCCGTCTCCATCATTCCAACTCTGTTTGCTTTATTTTGTCCATGCGGCTTCCGCGTTAATTCCCGAAGCCCGAATAGCCAGACGTAAGGCACCCCCTTAGGAGCAGACGGAGCGAGTTAGTTTCAGGTGGTGCAGGTGCAGCGTGAGAAATATGGGGGCGGGGGTGTGGTGGTGGTGAGGGGTGTCCGGGGTCTCGAGTCGCGTGGCACGGATATCACTACAGACAGATCCGTATGGATACCCGCAGAGACACGGAGACACATAGCGACAAGGAGACAAGACACACACAGAGACACGGAGAGAGAGACCACTAATTTCACCTCCCGCCTCCTCCTCCGCTGTGTGGGTGGTGTGTTGTGTAAACACAGCGCCGGGCGGAGGAGGGGGAAGCAGCATTTAACCCCTGTAATTAACACACTCGGTGGGTTAAACGCGTGTAACCCAAGTCCTGGGGTGCGGGTGGTCAGTCGTCACATGCCTGGTCAGTCGTAGAGGATTCCGTGTCAGTGCTTTGAACCGAGGAGCCACGCCACGGCTGGAATAGTACGGCCAGACTAAGATGCAACTTGTATCGTCGGTTCGTCGTGAACGTCTGGCGTTCATGGACACAGACTGTTGTCACCCGAGGCCCCGGTATCGATTCGTGTGGCAGAGCAAGTCAGTGGAAAGCCATCCAAGCGAGTGAATCTTGGTTGAGTAGTGGCAGAGCGATTGGCGAGTGCTGCGCTATGAACCCGGCGACTTGAGTTTTGTTTTTAATTTCAGGCCGCGGTTAACTTCAGTGGCGAGCGATATCCGATCCGGTCCCGGCGCCAACACCAACTTCACCAACCCGCACTGACCAGCGTGGTGAAGTATGGTCAAACGACCTCCTCGGAACCGGCGGGGGTGTGCGTGGGAGGAGGCATTCGTCCTACCGTGGACTTACGAAGGGCTGTAGATAAATTAATCTCAGGGTTCGCTGTCGGGGGAGTTCTACAGCGTGTGTAGCGTGCCGCGTGCGTGTGTGAAGAGCGGTGGTGCAGTAAACAAACCCGGCGACCCGAGTTCGAGTCCCGCTCACGGCCAATAACAGTGGCGAATATTTGAACCGGTCAAGGGGCCTCTCCTCTAAGTCGACTCAGTCTGCTGCGGCGTGTAGTAAACATCGCCACTCGGGAGACAAAGGCGGCCGGGCGTGGCTGCTGGCCACCCACCCCCTCGTGTGCTGTGACGGCTTTCATTGGTGGTGCTACTCGCTAACAGCCCTCGCCCCAAGAGTCTTTTAAGGCTAAACGCGGGGGTGGGGGGGGGAATCTTCGTGATGTGACGCAGCGTCAAGAAGCCACATGTGTTGTTAATCAAGGGCGCGTGGTTTCCGTGCCTTAGCCGCCACTGCCCCCGACTTCCCCTCCCATCGCTCAGAGTAATTATCCCGGAGCCGCCCGCCGCGCCGACGATTCAGCAACAGAGAGCGAGCTGTGAGCGTGCGGAGAATTCGTCTCGAATGGCAGTGCGGAGGGAGGGGAGGGCTGCCTGCCCGACACGAAACCCGCGGCCACAATGCGGTAGCAGTACACGGCGACTGTGCTGATGAGTCCTAATGAGGGTTAAACTGGCGCACGCGTTTGTCTTGTGGGACCCGATTCTCTATTAGCATGAATAAAGTTCAAACTAAACGCGTGTCGGTGCACGCAGGCTCCTCTTTGTACTGAGTAACTCGGAAAGCCGGGTTCGAGTCCCGACCACGGTTAACATCAGTGACGTGGGTGGTGTCTGACTGAATCAGTGCTGGGCACCCCTCCCCAGCCCTTCACCGACCCGCACGGCGCATCGTGGTGAAGTATGGTCAAAGAACCTCCACGAGCAAAAGGTGCGAGGAGGGCTTCATCCAGCAGTGGATGAAAACGACCTGCACGTTACACCGCTAGTTGCCGTGTGGTTGTCTCTCCGCTGCCCACATTCAGAACATCGTCCCCGAATCTCGGCTCCTTGCGGCCGGAGGCATCGCAGAGTGCTGTGTGTGCAGTGACGGCGCCTTGACACGCGAAGCGTGGCGACACTCCTCTTACGTTCGTTATACGTTGCCGCGTGTGCGCAAGTCGAGACGATTCACGCAGCAGCAGCAGCAGCTCTCCCTGCTAGCTCAGGCAAACGTTCGGCTGCGCTCACGCGAAATCCCCGAAGTCCACTCTGCCACGACGGTAGCGAGGGACACCCGCTGAGATTAGTTTGCTGCTTATTAATGTCCAAATGATGTGCCGCTTTTTTGAGCTATCATGTGTGGCCAGGTCGCTTCTGAAAAATAAATTAATACCACAGTGGGTTTTGCCTGGTATGATGGCGATGGTTTCGTTATGTTTGTATGTGTTTGGGTGACATGTTTACCTTTCGTGTACTTTGCATGACTATGATGTTGTTTTATTGGTTGTTGTAACGTTTTATTGGTTCTTTCGGTAAAGTCACGTAGAAGGGAAATAATTAAATTAAATATTTTATAGTAACATATTTTATTGTTTAATAATGAAATCATTTTTATTATTTATTAATAAAATATTTGTTTTATTTCCCTTCTACGTGACTTTACCGAAAGAACCAAGAAGATGAATCCCTGCAGTCACGAAAACTTTAAATCGAAATTTGTTGTAACGTTCTTACCCCGTGCCCCTACTGGACGTCTGTGAAAAAGAGCTTTATAGCTCATCGGATTCCTCCTTCAGTATAAATGAATATTCTGATTCTGTATTCTGACGTCACCCAAGGCGGTGCTCGCCGGCTCCGTGGCCACGGCAGGAATTTGAACTCTTGACCTGCCGACTCCCGAGCACCCGCCAGGCCTCGCTGCAATGAAATGGGTTTCGCGGATTCAAAGAGATGGACTATCCAGACAGGGCACTGAACATTCACGCACAAAGAAACCACGGCACAGGCACGACCCAAACACCGGGCAGCAGGAGTGGCTCCTGTCCCGATCGTGGTCATCACGCTGCTGCGTTGTGTCCTGGGCTCCCCCGTGTCGACGAATTAAATTAATGACCTGACAGCAATACGCCGACTCTTTAACATCGCTGCTCCCTCCACGTTCAAAGAAGAGGAAAAAAAAGTACGTGCATACATCCCATCAGCCACACGACATTCTGGTAAGTGTATAATCTCATCAGATTTTAAGCACGGTTGGCTACGTACGGTGCGAAAGAAGTTCAAAGTCAAGACTGATTTCGACGCTTCCGGTGCCTCATCACTGAAGAAGAGTAGAGTCTAAGGCCGACCTGAACCAACGCTGGTAGAGCTGCAAGCTGATTGGATGCGAGGATCCTCTCTCTTAGATATGGATCCCAGGTTGAAGCTTCGCGAATGCCACAAAGACGTTAAAGTCACGGGCAGGCATTCCCAACACCGCACTCCTTCGATTTCCCAGCACTGACGTTGAGCTACAAGGATCTGGGGAAATCGTCACTCGAGCGCCGTGACGAAACACCCGCAGTGTTGTTCATCACTCGTTTTCAGAGGGGGTGGGGGGGTGGAACACTTTCGCCGTAAAGACTTCGCCAGTGTGGGGGCCACACCACGCCGCCCGCTGCGAGGACAGTTTTCTCTCGTCGTTGTGTATCGTCGGTGGCCCGCGGGCCTTGCGACGAGGAACGCTGCCTTGGAGTGTCCCCTTGCTCCTTCTCGTTCACGACGCTACGAAGCTGACGACCCAGGCTCGTCGTGCTTCTCGCGCTGTGGGTAGATAACAGTGAACAACCACGCACACACCCACGTGTATGCGCGCGAATGTGTGCGCGTGCATCTGGCTGTACGCATTGTCTGTAATTGTGCGCGTATATGGGTTGGGGTTGTGTGTTTACGCAGTGCGTATGCATGTGTATGCTTTTACATATATATGTGTGTACGTGCGTGTGCGCATGTATGTGCATGTGCATGCGACAATTATCTGAACCGGTACTTGGCTTCTTCCCCTAGGTCGACTCAGCCTCAAATGAGCACCTCGTGGCGATGTGTAAAACATCGCCACGAGGGAGACAGCCGTAGACGCAGCCTTCAAAGATGCCCTCTCACCTCACTTGCCCCAAAAGTATTTCAAGACTACACGGGGGGTCTTGTAGTTTTGTCTGTGTGTATGAATGTATGTGTATGGATGTGTGTGTGTGTATGTGTATGGATGTGTGTGTGTATATGTGTATGGATGTGTGTATATGTGTATGGATGTTTGTGTATATGTGTAGTGGAGCGGTTAGCGCACTGCGCTACGAACCTGGCGATTCAAGTTCGATTCCCGCTCACGGCCAAAATCAGTGACGATTATCTGAACCGGTCTTGGGCCTCTCCTAGGTCGACCCAGCCTCAAATGAGTACCTGGTGCGGTGTGCAAACATCACCACTGGGGAGACAAAGGCGGCCAGGCGTGGTGCTGGCCACCCACCCCCTCGTGTGCCGTACCGGCCTTCATCGGTGCTCGCTAACAGCACTTGCCCCGACAGTCTGTTAAGGCTACACGGGGGATCTTTGTTGATGAATGGGAGTCGTGACGCGTCTGGGTCCCGCTCCCCCCCACCCCCGCGCGCCTCCTCCTCCTCCCTTCCCCCGCGGCTCCTCCTGCGTCTCCCGCACTGCGCGGCGGCGCTTCCACACGGCTCGGGTAAGGCGACTCCGCTCGCTCCTCTCGCTCCTCCGAGACGAACTCTCACAGCAACGGGCTACCATGGGCGAGGGAGCAGAGATGGCAGAGATAGAGAGGGGGAGACGGGAGAGGGGGTGGGGAAGAGATGGAGAGAGAGAGAGAGACATTGGTGGCGTCGAGAGAGTTGTGAGACACGGGGATGAAGTTGGAGAGTGGCAGAGAGATGGGGAGTTGAGGGTGAGCGAGCGTGAAGTCGAGAGGGCGAGAGAACGCAGGGGACACGGAGCGAGAGTGGGAGAGAAATGGAGGGAGATTGGGGAGAGAGTGCGCTGAGGAGAGAGAGTGTGATGGAGAGTGTGATGAGGAGAGAGAGTGTGATGAGGAGAGAGAGTGTGATGGGGAGAGAGAGTGTGATGAGGAGAGAGCGTGTGATGGAGAGTGTGATGGGGAGAGAGTGTGATGAGGAGAGAGCGTGTGATGGAGAGATTGTGTCGAGGGGAGAGATTGTGTCGAGAGGAGGGAAATGTTCTATCGGGGTTGCATCATTGTTAGGAATCATCAGTTACAGTGTTGGCCATCCTTGCTCCAGCCGTCTGCGTGCGCGCGTGCGTTGGCACCCGTTGCCTGTTGCACTTTGCTAACCAGTGCCTCGTCGTTTACAGAAAGTGCGAGAAGCAGCTCGATCGTCGCCCCCCTCGGGGTAATGCTAGACGGTGCCCCCCCCCCCCCCAGTGCCCTGGGAGGATTTATCGACAACCTCCCCCCCAAGGGCAACACTGATGGCAACACCGCAGTGATGATTCCTGGAGAAAAAATATAATGACCCCGACTCTTGTACGTGCGGTGGTTTCGTTGCCCTGCTGCTGCTGTTGATGTCAACAAGAATTCGGTCACAATTTTGACTCTCGGGTCGGATCTAAAAACAATGCTGAGTGTGCATCGCAGACAAAGATGCCCCGTATAGCCTTAGCATATTGTTGTGACAAGTACTGTTAATGATCAGCGCTTATGAAGGGCGGTACGGTAGGCGAGGGGGTGGGTTGGCAGCACCACGCCCGGCCGCCTTTGTCTCCCCAGTGGCGATGTTCAATACACACCGCTACAGACACTCATTTAAGGATGAGTCGTCCTAGGGGTCTACTCAGAACCGGTTCAGAGAATCGTCACCGTGAGCGGGAATCGAACTCGGGGAAGGCGGGTTCGGAGCGTAGTGCGCTAACCACAACACTGCCGTGCATCACACACACGCGGTGTGATAGTGATGATGGTGATGATGATGGTGTCATCACCATCATCACTATCACACCGCGAGGCAGGGGAGTGTATGCAGAGGAACTCGCGGACGACATGACATTCCTCCAATGGGTTGCGTTTTTTTCCTGTCGCCTTCAATCACCTCTCGCTACAATGGCACCGCATCCCCACCATCTGCTCCCATCCACGTAATACCACCTCTGACGTTGTCTCTACTTGAACTGCGCACAGCTTATGGACAGAGCAGATTGCCACCGCAAAACTCCTCGTTTAATCGTCGTGTTCTCATCCCTTCCCCCTGCTGGTTTGAGCAGATGCCACCACCACCACCACCTCCCTCCACATTCGTGTCAGTCTTCGCGTGGGGCTTCTACCGCTGTCGCATCACAGTAGCTGCCACCCTTCCCATCTTGAGCTCTTTGTTAATCCACTGCTCGGTGAAGCCCCCCCCCCCCATGCCGCGTCCCGTCGTCGTGGTTCATGGGGGGCTGTTTGACCATACTTCACCGCGCCGTGCGGTCCGTGCGGATTGGCGAAGTTCAGTGCCGACGACCGGCTCTGGTAGCACTCGCCAGCTGATGTTCAGTCGCGGCTGGGAATCGAACCCAGGTGGCCGCCAGTTTCACTCATTTTACGCGCGCGGCGCGCTAACCGCCGCGCCACCGCTCCACCGCCATCGCAGTCGACAGCGCAGCTGAACTCAAGCGATCGGCTCATCCACCTGGACAGACTCCGGGCGACGCTCGGCGCACCATCGCTCAGCGGCCGAGACCCTGGCGCGTAGAGTCAGCACTCTCGTGGCGGGGCCGTCGAGTGTACAGGCGGTGCAACTGCGCGGTTGAACCCCCTGGAGGCGGCCCGGGCGTTTCAGTCCTTGCACGAGGAGCCGTGCCAAGCGCCCTACTCCGCCGTTTAGCCCCACGCGTGTAGAAGGCTTCAGCTTGTTTCTGTTGACCCAGGTGAGAACTCGGAGAGTGGACAATGGCGCGGTCCATGTCACGGTGCTCTTGCTGCACTTCCTAGCGCCCACGGTACCGACGTGCGGACTCATCCATCACCGTCTCTGACTCCAGCAGTCACAATGTTGAATGCGTCGCGGGGGTGAGGGGGTGCTACTCACTCTCAGTGTGTGTCACCTACCTCCTGGTAAAAAGGGTCCAAGCCGCATTCCCAATGCCCTGCCCCTCGTTCCACGCAAAGCGACGCGGTTCGTGAGACACCACCCGGCGAGTGAGACTGAAGGGGGGGCACCTATGTTTCAAGATAACTAACGGGGGGGGGGGCTGCAATTTCGGTTTCGGAACAACATCCCCGGGGTTGCGTAAGCGTGACGCAGGGCGGTCCAGGAGCGAGAGGTGTGGCGTGGGAGATTCCGCACCGCAGCTGAAGATTCCCAAAGTGGAACAATTCCAGATAAGCTGTTTTTGGGGGGCGGGGGGGGGCAAGCCGTTCTCAACCCATGGGCTCGACTCCCGCCCAACACCCCCACCCAGCGAGGGGGCACAGGCTGCGGAGTGGATACCGTGCGGGAGGAAAATACAAATGCGAACGTGGGCGGGGGGATCGTTCGCACCGTCATTGTGGCCACGAGAACACGCAGGAACGCAACCTTGAAACAAAAAGCCTCGCGAATAAAAACGCCGCCTCGACTCTCCTCTCGCTCTGTGTGCACTGGCGGCCTTAGGGGACATCCATTTAGTACGTACGCAGGTGGGGGGGGGGGGGGGTATGTAAAAAGTACGCGGTCGTACAGGGAGGGGGGGGAGGGGTCAAGTTTTGACAGATTTTTTGCGTACCTACTCAATGGATGGCCCCTTAAGAAGCTGAAGCGTTCTCGTGGGGCTAGGTCGTGGTGGGGGTGACCAGTGGTCTTGGTTGGTTGGGGGGGGGGCGTGTTGGGAGCTGCTGCACTGGGGGCCGCTTTACGGGAGGTGAAGCAGACATCGTGGGTTGAAGAAGGCGGTTCTGAATCGATTTATAGATCAAGTCACCTTGGGTATTCTCTAGTTCGTGTATCATGTCATTGGTTGGCATGATCCCTGCAACTACGAGAGGCCGATACATATACCAACTTAAAATAATCTCTTTTTTATGTTTCATATATATTTTAAGCGTGGTATAATACGAATCGCTTTATAGTTGCAGGCACGTGACGTGAGAGCAGTCCGGTACCTGAACGTGACCAGGGAGTCAGCAGCACGGGGGACTGGGGGGGGGCATGATTCCAAACCGCGGGGACGGCAATAGAGAAGTAGGGACCGTCCAACTGAGCAATATGTTAGTTGAGGGTTTTTTTGTGTCAGAAGTCCTTGGTCGTTGCAGGAGTAGGAGAACACGGTGTAGGGGAGTCGAGTGAAACGAGAATGAAGAGGGAGGTGGGAGCGAGTCCATGGAGGATCGTGTAGCTCAGTGTTCTTCATTGCAAGGCCCCTGGCCTACTGGCAGTCCCTGACAATACACAAATGTTAAAACAAAAAAACCCCCCCCCCCCCCCCATCGTGCTGTCAAACCCCGATGGTTTCAAATTTGTAGCGGCCCTCACACTGAAGATGTTTGGATTTGAAGCTTTCGTGACTGCAGGAATCCATACACTTTGGTTCTTTCGGTAAAGTCACGTGGTTTTGTTTACGGGCGCCGGCGTGGAGTCGGGAATCAGTGGCCTGTATAGACGACGAGGAGTTTGTAGACGACGAGGAGATTGTAGTCGACGAAGAGATTGTAGACGACGAGGAGTTTGTAAACGAGGAGATTGTAGACGAGGAGATTGTAGTCGACGAGGAGATTGTAGTCGACGAGGAGATTGTAGATGAGGAGGCGTTTGTAGATGAAGTCTTTGGGGCAGGGCTGGATTAAGGTTCTTGTAAAGGCCCGAGGCACTTCTGTTTCGCAGGCCCTTCAGTGATAACTCTCTCCAGTTGGTACCGCTGCTGCCCCATGTTACGATTATTATTATCTGTCCAGCCGCTGGACAGATGATAATAATACTCATTTACATTTATTTGTAAGGCTCCTTCCACTAATGTCTCAAGGCGCCTGATGTCGTTACGGCTGATACGTTCATTATTTAGGCTGTGCCCTAATTCGATGGGAGCGCGCTGTGTGCCGATTTAATAAGCATATTTAATTTGAAACACTGTGCCTATCCTTGCTATACAATAATATTTAAGAATATATACATTATTTTAAATCATGCAAACAAAAAAACATGAATTTTGACTTAAAGCTTTCGTGACTGCAGGGATTCATATTTATTTCGTAGGCCCTTTAGTTTTCGTAGGCCCTAGGCACAGTTCCTACTGCGGCCTATTGGCTTTACGGCCCTGCTTTGGGAAGGTCCTGGAGGAGGGAGTTGCAGTCGTTGAGCGTCCAGGTGATGAATATGTAGATGAGGGAGGGTCTCAGCAGCAGATGAGATGGGGACGTGTTGGGATGCGGGCAATGGAAGGCGTCAGGTCCTGGGAGAAGCGGGGACGAGATAATCTTCCCGGGTTGAATTGTGGCCACGAATTGCCTCCATTGCCTTCCCGTCTATTACTGCTGTTTATTCAAATTCCTCACCCTTGTTTACAAACCGCTCTATGGTTCTGCCTCACCCTATCTCGCTTCTCTTATTGCTTACAATATTCCATCTAGGCCCCTGCGTTCACAATCCCTTTTATCCCTCACGATGCCCCCCCCCCCCCGTCACTGTGCTCAGGCTTCCGCTCCTTTTCCCTCCTGGCGGCCCTACATTGGAATAAAGTCCAACTCCACATCAAGCAGGCAAATTCACTAAACCATTTTTCGTTCCTCCCTTTAGACTCATCTTCTTTCAATCGCGTATCTCTCGACTACTTCCTGTCTGCATCGTTAAAACCCTTAACCATCGTCGCCATTCTCCTTCCTCACCTCGCCGCTCCCTTTCACAAACATCACCCTTCCTTGCCATCCCTCCCCCTCCTCAACACTCAATAATTCTTGTAAAGCGCTTTGACAAAAGCACTATATAAAATCCAAGATAAGATAACAAATGGGAAACACGATAAGTCCTCGTTTAACATGGGAGATGCGTTCCTGAAAAGTGACGCGTTAAGCGAAAACATTTCCCCATGAACGATGTAACGGTAAAGTTTAGCGAGATGCGATGTACGCATATAGAGTGAGATGGCGGGACAAAGAACTGAGGGTATGCCACCACGTATTGTATAATTTCACGTACTGCACAGCACAGCTCAAGAAAGTACTTTGTCGTCGACCGCTGAGTAATCGTGTTATAACGGTGCGCGTTCCGCGTTGCTGTTAACATTTCCGTGTTTGAGACGGCGGAGAGGAAGCTAGATCCGCCGCGACAATGACAGAGGACGGTGTTGTGGCACCTACAGCATTGGCCGTAACACCCCGCTTGGTCTGCTGGTGGAGGAGCCCGCCCCCACCCCCCCGCCGCGTTACACGCGACTCGACGCGCCGCTCGTCCGCGCAGCAGCTGCTGCTGCTAGAGTCATCGGAGGACCGCCGAACGTCAGACTCGTAGGTCTCGTGGCCCACTCAGCGACCGTCGCTGTCGGCTCGGCTCTCACGCGCAGCTCTCGCGATGGCGTCTCCGCTGTCAGCTCTGCTGCTCCTCGCCCTGCTGGCTCTCCCGGCCGCTCGCGACGCCGCGCAGGACCGCGTCGACGACGGTGGCGGCTACGAGGATGAAGAGGGGGAGGCGGTGGAGGAGGGAGAGGGCGTACTCCCCAGTCCGGGCCAGCGCCAGGGCTCGTGTCCGTCCAGCTGCACTTGCTCGCCCGACGGCGCCGTGGAGTGTGCGGGCGCCGGGCTTGACTCCTTCCCCGCCTCGCTGCCTGCAGACACCCAGCTGCTGTCCTTGCAGGTGGCTGCTTTCGTTCGTCTTCTCCTCCACCACCTATCCACTCCCCGCACATCGTCATCATCACGATCCATGGGCAGATAGCCCCGTAGCTTTCCACTGCACATTTCGTCATTTGTTTCCACTTTCCTCTGTCTTGTGGCAATATGCTCAAGTAGTGCAACATCTTTCTGGCACTAATCTCTGATGTCATCGTCTGGCCATTCTCCGTTAGGTCTTCCTCACTTTCCGGTTCCTTCCATTTTACCTGAACAACAACACACTTTGATTTTCCTGTTGTTGTCCATCCTACATATGTGTCCAGAATAGTGCCAGTTTCCTTCTCATCGCTGCTTGCATCAGGTCTTCTTCTTTTTCTTCTATGTGCAATATTTTTCTTACTTCTACGTTGGTCACTCTTTGGGTCCAGCTTAGATGCAGTATCCTTCTGTAGCAATACCCCCCCCCCCCCCCCACACACACACACACTAATGCCTCTTTTCCACTGTCCATGCTGGGGCCCACACCAAACCGGCCCGGCACGGCTCAGAAAGTGCCGAGTTGTTGTTGTTGTTTTTATCCCACAGCAGAAGTCAAGTTGGGCCGCTGACGTTACACGCAATGAATGGGTCGAGACGAATGTAGATGACTGACCGACGTCACAACGCAAGGGACGCATCGTTAGCCCCGTCCCATAGGTCTACTTGGACATGAGCTTGGTTCACAACGTCATGTTGAGAGAAGCCACAGTATCACTGTTTGGTTCTCGCTTGGGACGCCACGTAACCAGTGGGAAGTCGCCCATGCGAGGCCCATGCTTAGCCTAGCTCAGATGTGACAGTGAGTGGCGTGGCGTTGTGTTGTGAGATGAAAACATTTCTATTTGCAGCTCTCAGGGAGGAGTGTAACAATGGTAATGGTTTCAGTCTCCATCGAGACTCCAGGAGACCAGGTGTCAGGATCGGAGTCTCCATTGAGACTCGGCTCCAGGATACCAGGTCTCAGGATCGGAGTCTCCAATGAGATTATGCTCTCAGCCTTCTGATGCATCGTTGTGTGTTTGTGTGTGCGATTCTGTGAGCAGAACAATCAAATCGAGGTGGTTCCGATTGCAGCTTTAAAGAGAGTTCCACTGCTCCGCACCTTGAACCTTCAAAACAACCTCATCACGTCTGCAGGTGACGTGTCCCCACCGATTTCACCTCCTTTACACGAGACGTGCCTCCCTTTTTTCACGCCGATCAGACGACACTTCGGTTCCGCTGTTTTCTTCAAATTTTGGTCTCAGATTGAAATATTCAAACCGTGACAACTCACTTGGATTTCGCTCTGTAGCTACAATGTATTAACACTCATCTGGGTATTAAAAACCAAATGCAAAACCCTCCTGAAAAAGGGTGTGGCTTTCCTGGGTGAGGGTCTGTTTGTTGGTCTTGCGCCAACAAGACCAACAAACAGACCCCAACTTGTGGGCCACAGGGCCGTGGGCCCTAAACTTGTGGGCCAAAGTGCGTGGGCCTTAACCTGTGGGCCACACCTCACCTCGCTTAATGCTGCGGGTGCCTCTAAACGCCACCATTACTTCCCTCATGACAACAAGAGGTTTCCACCTAAATAATACTTTACAAGCACCCCCCTCCACCCCCTTGGTAATGAAAGTGCCCCCCTCTACCTCAACGAGGGCCCGACTCTAACTCCGCGAGTCGAGTCACCGCGTCTCCATGCTCCATTGAGCTGAGTATTGCATGCACGTACGTTGAACTTCATTCGCGCCGTACGTAGCCAACCGTGCTCATCGGAGGTGCGTGGCGGAACGACAACAGAAGGGAAGGATTGGCGCTCATCTGTGTTGGCCGCCCTGTGCCCCTGGTTGAAATTCCACATTCCCATGACGGTGGCCAGTCTCTCCATTGGACAACCATTTTTGACGTCTCAAAAAGCAGTGTTGATTTTATTTATCCCAGTGGGATGATGATGACACCGAATATGACGATGCTGATGATGACGATGATGATGACGACGTTGATGACAATGATGTTGATGACGACGATGATGGCCTGAGTCCTCTTCACCTGCCGTGTCCAGGCCTCCCGGCCGACGGCTTCATGGTCTTGAAGGAGCTACAGTACCTCTACCTGGCCAACAACAAGGTGAGCACAGTTAACGCTGAGTGGACCTTGTGGGGGATCAGGTTTACTTGGAAGTCACCAACCGCCAACGAATGTCCCTGGGTATGCAAGCATGGAGCACCACTGTCCAAGCCAGCAGCGGGAATTCCACTATCCTATGGCGGGAGCCAGCCTCTCCGTGGAACAACTGCTGATTTCCCACAGGGTGGTGCACCGTTGTCTGATTGGTGGTGTACAGGCCTTGTACAGGCCGTGTCAGTGTTTGGACAGAGGTGGTGCAATGATGTAACTCCAACCCCCGCGACCTCGGTTAGATTGTCATCCACGGATGAAGGTAGTATCAAAAGTGATGTCTAAACCTTCCCCTAAGTTGAGTCGGCAACACAGAAGTACCCGGCGCAGTGTATGGTCATGAGCACAAGGGATACAAAGGCGGCCGGGTGTAATCATTGCCGCATCGCTGGTGCTGTGTACCTGCCTTAACAGGCGCTCGCTAACAGCACTTGCCCCAACAGTCTATGTGGTCGATTGGGGATCTTGTTGTGTGAGTGTGGATCTATGAGTGAATGTGTCTGTCTGTATGGGGAGACAAAGGCGGCCGGGCGTGGTGCTGGCCACCCACCTCTCGTGTGCCGTGCCGGCCTTCATAGGTGCTGCTCGCTAACAGCACTTGCCCCAACAGTCTGTTAAGGCTACACGGGGAATCTTTGTCTTGTGTCTGTATAGGTGCTGGCTGGTAAAACTACAATGACGTAATTTGAAATCGTCACGATGACCACTAATTGTTATAACACTCCTACAACATCAGAGTGCAGCGTCACATTAAATACGCACTACAATGACAATACATAGTTTAAGGCGATTTGTTTTATTTTCGAAATGTAAATATGGTTTGGGGAGGGGTGGGCAGAGCTTTGTGACGTCATATTTGATGGGGACTTTTTGTGACGCCGTGTGACGAGGGGGGGGGGGGGTCAAAAATCTTCCAAAACCGTGTGACGTCATTTATGGACGGCCCCTTAGCTGCTGCTGTGATGTTTCTCACCTCGTCGCTCAACTCCTCATCCCCAGCTCACCCAGACCCCCGGATCCCTCCCGGCCTCCCTCGTCAGTGCGGATTTGGCCGCAAATTTTCTCACCGCGATCTCGCCCGGGACCTTCGGTGGCAAACCCGACCTGCGGTAACTCACAACGCACACAAAGACAAAGATCTCCCGTGTAGCCTCAACAGACTGCTGGGGCAAGTGCTGTTAGCGAGCAGCACCTATGAACACCGGCACGGCGCACGAGGGGGTGGGTGGCCAGCGCCTCGACCGGCCGCCTTTGTCTCGACAGTGGCGATGTTGACCACACACCGCACCAGGCGCTCATTTGAGGCTGAGTCCACCTAGGGGAGGCCCAGGACCGGCTCAGATAAACGTCACTGGGTGTTGGAGGCCTTGAGCGGGATTCGAACTTGCGCGCTCGGGATGACTGCGCGTGGTTCTGGCCACACGCCACCTCCTGTGCCGTGCCGACCTTTGCCGGTGCTTGCCCCGTCAGTCTGTTGGAGGCTTTGCGGGGGGGGGGGGGGGTGTGGGGTCGGTCTCCGTGTGTGCACGCAGCTCCGTTTACCTGCACAATAACCGCCTGACGAACGCGGGGATCCCGCGGGACGCGTTCCTCGGCTCTGACGCCGTGGAGACTCTGATCCTGTCGAGCAACAGCCTCACCCGGGCCCCTCTCGGCCTCCCGCCGGCCCTGCAGAGACTGCACCTGCGGGTACGCGCACGCACGCACGCAAACACACAGGCGGCACACACAAGGCAAATATCCTCCGTGTAGCCTTAACAGACTGTTGGGGTAAGTGATGTTAGCAAGCACCTCTGAAGGCTGGCACGGTACGCGAAGGGGTGGGTGGCCAGCACCACGCCCGGCCGCCTTTGTCTCCCCAGTGTCGATGTTTTTACACCGCTACACCAGCTACTCATTAGAGGTTTAGTCGACAAAGGCAAAGGACACACAAACACACACATACAACAACAACAACCGCCATTCGCCACTAAGTGGCGGTGACGTCACCACGACGCTTGTGCCAGGCCATGTGCTCCTTGAGGCCACGTGAAGTGTCGAACGCCCGCTGGCAGGAGGTCACGGGGCAGACCCAGGTGCCACGGGTCGACTGACTGAGATGACTGGCAGGTGCACCACCTGTGCCCCCTACTGTGCCAACCTGCTGTGCTTTAGCCACCCGGCGCTCCGCTCGTTGTTGTGAGCGTCGCTCCTCCGCCCTCCGTTGTTGTTGGAGAGCGACTGCCTCCAACTGCCCAATAGCGTCCTTCACGAGCCTCCTCCACAGAGGTCGATCTTGACACCGCTGGTACCAGTCATCGGCAAGTCCACTCAGCTCCACGTCCTTCTGTACTACATCACTCCATCTCTTCTCTAGCCCGTGCCACGCCCGTTTAGCCCCCTCAATCCGGCCGAACAAAAGCTGTTTCGGCATGCGGTGGCTGGGCATACGGGCTACATGACCCAGCCAACGCAGCCTTGCCTGCTGGAGGAGCTCACCGATGGGACCTTGCCCAGATCTTTCAAGGATTTGTGAGCTCCTCACACAATCCAGCCTGGTTAAACCCAGGATGGATTGAAGGCAGGCCAGCCTAAATGTTTCCAACCGGTGAAGATGCTCCATTAAGGGGTCCACGTTTCGCAAGCGTAGAGAAGGGAGGGAATGACCTTGGCCGAGAAGACCTGAAGCTTAGTGTGGAGCGACAGACCAAGTAGCTTCCACACAGCGTTACGCAACCGATGAAAATATATTGCCGCTCGACTGATTCGGAGTGAGACCTCTGCTGTTAAACTGGAGCCGGTCATAAGCACAATTCCCAGGTATGGGAAACTCTCCACTCTCTCCACAACTGCCCCATCACCGATTGGGAGTTGTGGGGGTGGAGTGTCCGATGGTACAACATACCCAGGCAGGTGCTTAGTTTTGGTGGAGCTCACACACACACAAGCTCTCACACACAAGCTCAAATGCAGAAACACGTTCACAAAAAACAAAGATCCCCCCATTGGCAGCGTCTGTGGCTGAAACTCCCTGCACCCTGTCCAATCCTGAGATTTCTTCCCCGTTTCACTGTGTCAACGTGCGAATGGGAACATTGTGCGTCCTTCCGTCTGTCCGTGTGTCACAGAATAACAAGCTCCATTCGCTCTCGGGGGGAGCGTTCGATCAGCTGAGAGACCTGAGAGAGCTCTACCTGCAGCACAACCAGCTCAATGACCGCAGCGTCGACGCAAAGACATTCACGTACATGCACAGCACTCACTCGCCAACACGCTCACCATCACACTCACCCATTTACATACGCGCACACACTTACTCACCGACACATTCACAAATTTCAGGTACACACTCACTCACACGCTCACCAACATACTCACGCATTCACGTACACGCACCCACTCACTCACCCCATTCACGTACACTCACAGACACACACACACACTCACCCACACACTCACACTTTCACCCACAAACTTTCATGCATACACGCTCACTCACTCTCATGGAAAAAAGCACAATCATTCCCACACACGCTCCCACTGTCTCACACTCAACGCACTCACTCGCATGCTCGCTCTCACGGTCACCCACCCACTCACACCCCCAACAACAATAACCGCCGTTCACCACTAAGTGGCGAGAACATCACCACCGCGCTTGTGCCATGCTAGGTGCACTTTGAAGCCACGTGCAGCGTCGAAGGCTCGGTGCTGGCAGGAAGTGCCACTCGTTGACTGACCCAGACGACTGGCAGATGCACCATCTGTGTTCCCCCACTGTGCCACGCATCCCCATGCTCACTGCCCAGCCGTCACTCATTCTCTCTCCACTCGTCTCTTCCCCCACGTCGCTCCCCCCCCCCACCGCCGCCAGTCACTCTCGGCGCCTCGAGTACCTGGACCTGTCGAGTAACAACCTGACGCTGGTGCCGCGCGGGCTGCCGGCCCGGCTCGTCATCCTCCACCTGGAGCGCAACGCCATCGCGGCGCTCGACTCGCAGGGCCTGGGCCGCCTGCGCTCCCTCGAGTACCTGCTGGTGCACTCGAACCGCGTGCGTGCTCACGCTGTGGGCGCCGCCGCCTTCCGCAACCTGCGCCGCCTGCACACGCTGCACCTCTACAGCAACGAGCTGAACCGCGTGCCCCGCAGCCTCCCGGCGCACATCAAGGCAGGCGCACGCACGCGCACGCACGCACGCGCGTCTGCGCGCGTACGTGCAGTCGCACGTGTGTGCGAATTTACTACGGACACACGCGGTCACGTCAAGGGGGGCAGGCAGACAAAGATCCCCCGTATAGCCTTAACAGACTGTTGGGGCTTGTCCTGATAGTGAGCACCCCGGCATGGCACACGAGGGGTGGATGATCAACACCATGCCCAGCCGCCTTTGTCTCCCAAAGTGGTGATGTTTACACAGCATACCAGGTACTCATTTGAGTCGACGTAAGGGAGTCCCAGGACCGGTTCAGATAATCGTCATTGGTGTTGGCCGTGAGCGAGAATTGAACTCGGGTCATCGGGTTCGTAGCGCAGCGTGCTAACCGCTGCACCACCGCTCCCACAGCACACAGTCACACACACACAGCCACGCTGTTCAGCTTCTTCCCTCTCGGTTCGACCCCAGGTGCTGATGCTGCTCCACAACACCATTCACGAGATCCGCGCGCAGGATTTCGCTGCCACCCCCGAGCTGGCCGAGTTGAACCTGAGCTTCAACCGCCTGAGCACCAAGAGGCTGCACCCGCGAGCCTTCACGCGCCTGTCCAAGCTCGCCTCGCTCGACCTCACGGGCAATCAGCTGACGCACGTGCCCGTCGGGCTGCCCGCCAGCCTGGAGGTGAGTGGGGGAGGCACTTGAGGGTGCACACAACCGCAGAGAGACAGACGGACGGACGCCCACTCCTCTTCCTAAGACTACAGACGACACTATATTTTATATTACCAGGTGAGGTCCACTGAGCTGCATAGCTCTTTATCAGAAGCGACCTGGCCACAAAGAAGTGGCTTATCACCATGTGGATATGTATTGCAGCCAAATACTCTAAACGCATTATGTTGATTATAAATGTGGGGGGGGGGGAACTGGAGGACCCAGAGAAAAATTACGTGACCACGGGGAGAACATGCAAACTCCCAAATAAACACCACCCACGACCTCCTGTATCCCAGGCGGGGTAGTTCACATCTCGCCAGCGAGGCACCCGCTGGCACACCTGAGTCGACATGGCGCAAGGCCCTCTCGCGGTCCAGGTGGTTTTTCACTGGCTTTTTGAGCCGAACCAGAACCAAAGTGTGAATACACCGCTGGCTCCGTAAGACGTCCGAATCTGCATCGGGGGGCCCAAGCGGAGTCCAGGTAAGGGATAACGACGGACGCGTTCATCGCGCGTGACCCAAGTGGGCTGCACGGCCTCGCAGCATCATCTGCACGCCGCTCGACGCATTCGTCGCGTTTGTCGACGCCGGCGGCACGGCTGGGCTTCTGCGGTGGAAAATGAACTTGGCTCCTCCGTGGAGCCGTGCCGGGCTTGCTCCACAGAGGCGCCAACAGACGGCCGCAGCTACACCACCCATTCGTACACCCCCAGTAGTGCAGGCTAGGCAGCTCAGGCACACCACCCAGCTCTTCTCACCACCACCACTACCTGGCTCCACCACCCTGTGTACCCCCACCCCTGCCTACCTTCCCCCCACCCCCCCACAGGTTCTGCGGATCCAGCAAAACCACGTGGCGGTGCTGGGGAATGGGGCCCTGTCGGGGCTACCCGCACTGCGGGAGCTGATGCTCAGTGACAACGCCCTGGCGAGCAAAACCATCGCGCCAAACATTTGGGCGCAGCTCCCCAGCCTCACGGTACGCACGCACACAAAGACAAAGATCCCCTGTATAGCCTTTAACAGACTGTCGGGGTAAGTACAAAGATCCCCCTTATAGCCTTAACACTGTTGGGGTAAATGCTGTTAGCGAGCACCTATGAAAGCTGGCACACACGCCCGACCGCCTTTGTCTCCTTAGTGCCAATATTTAGACCCAACATACGTGTCGCTGGACGGGAGGTGATGGGTGGGTTTCGGTGATGACATAACCATCGGCAGCTTCACCCCTGGCGTAGCTTTGTACGGAGTTTCCAGCCTTCAGAAACAGGATGTTGGCGGTCGTTGATTACAATCTTGAGTCGATTAGAATTGCCTCGTGACTAAGGGAGACAAAGGCGGCCGTGCGTGGTATTGACCATAGGTGCTCGCTAACAGCACTTGCCCCAAAAGGCTGTTAAGGCTACACGAGGGGTCTTTGTCTTTCTAGACGCTGGACCTGTCCAGCAACGCCTTGACCGTGGTGCCCTCGTCTCTGCCCGCGTCGCTCGAGTACCTCTACCTGCAGAACAACCGCATCAACAGCATCCCCGAGGGCGCCTTCAGCACCACCCCCAACATCAAGGGCATCTTCCTACGGTATCCTTGCCCACGTGCGCACACACTTATACATGGTACACACATACATACATGGTATACACACACTTATACATGGTACACGTACACGGTACACAAAGACAAAGATCCCCCATATAGCCTTAACAGACTAGGGGCAAGTGCTGTTAGCGAGCACCTATGAAGGCCGGTAACGGTACACGAGGGGGTGGGTGGCCAGCACCACGCCCGACCGCCTTTGTCTCCATAGTGGCAATGTTTACACACCGCACCAGGTACTCATTTGAGGCTGAGTCGACCTAGGGGAGGCCCGGGACCGGTTAAGATAATTGTCACTGGTGTTGGCCATGAGCGGGAATCGAACCCGTGTCGCCGGGTTCATAGCGCAGCGCGCTAACCGCTACACTATCGCTCCCCACCACATGGTACACGTACACACACACACTTATGCATGGTACACGTACACACACACACACACGGTACACGTGCAAAGACAAACATCCCCCGTATAGCCTTAACAAACTGTTGGGGCAAGTGCTGTCAACGAGCACCTATGAAGGCCGGCATGGCACACGAGCAGGTGGGTGTGGTACGCGAAGGGGTGGGTGGCCAGCACCACGCCCGACCACCTTTGACTTCTCAGTGTTAATATTTATACACCGCACCAGGTACTCATTTCAGGCCAAGTCAATCTAGGTTGAGGTCCAGGACCGCTTCAAATATTCACCACTGTTGTTGATCGTGAGTGGGTATCGAACTCGGGTCACCAGGTCCGTAGCGCAGTGCACTAACCACTGCGCCAACGTGGTGCCACACACGCAAATACAAAGATCCCCCATATAGCCTTAACAGACTGTTGGGGCAAGTGCTGTACACACACTAACACACAGCCTATGCAAAGAAACTCACGCTTGCGCGTCCCAACACCTGTCGTCTGTACGCAGCTACAATCGCTTGCCTCCACACGTCAAGGACATGTTCATGGGTCTCGAGGAGCTCCAGGTGCTCGACCTGACCGGGAACTTTGACGGAACTCCGGAGCCCGGTGCCGACGATGGCGAAGGTGGCGATGGTGAAGGTGGCGATGGCGATGAAGAGGAGGGGATGGGGAACCCGCAAAAGGAACTCCCTCAGAGACGACGGGCGGTAGAGAGAGGTAAGAATCTTGCGCCGCAGGCACCCTGCCACGGCTTCGCCCTTGAAGACCCCCCCCCCTGAAAACCTGCACAGACTGCTGGGGCGAGCGCTGTTCAGAGGGCATCTATGAAGTAGGACATGGTGCATGAAGTTGTGGTGTGGCCAGAACCACGCCCGGCTGCCTTTGTCTCCCCAGCGCTGATGATTATACACGACGCACATTACGCATTTGAGGCTGCGTCTACTTTGGTTTGGATGTCACTCACCACTGATGTTAACTGTGGCTGGGAATCGAACTCCGGTCGTTGGGCTTGTAGTCCAGTGTGCTAACTACAGCGCTGCCTACTGATCTGGTTACATGTTCATGAACACAGATGGTACTACGAGTTCTCCACTCTCAACACAAGGTCACAATGTTTAATAAATAAATGGTTTCATCCTCATCCAAACATCACGGGCACTGTGCAGGAAATAAGATGAACTCCACTTTGTGGGAAGTCAGCAGCTTCAGGTGTGCTCCACCACTCCTGTTTACACGTGTGCGTGTGTCTCTGCGTAAAGAGACTATACGTACGCATGTTGGAGATTTCCTGATGCCTGTTTATAGAAAGGCCACGTGGTGCTTGTACAGGACTCGTCACGAGACAGGGATCCTGGCCGGTGGTTGAGACGAATGACAGTGGCACCGCAGAGATGGAGCGATAAAAATCTGTTTGTGTGCAGCTGCTCGACGGACTGTTGGCGAGCCATTTCGCGCAGCAATTCGCGCACTGCACCACGAACCCAGCCACCCGAGTTTGAGTCCCACTCACAACCGATAACAGTGGCGAATATTTGAACCGGTCCTGGGCCTCCCGCCTAGGTCGACCCAGCCTTAAAAAAGTACCTGGTGCGGTGTGTAAACATCAACACTGGTGAGACTGAGGCAGCCGGACGCGGCGCTGGCTAACGATCCCCTCGTGCACCCTGCCGGCCTTCATAGGTGTTCGCTAACAACACCTGCCCCAACAGTCCGTGAAGGCTGCTGTATATGGAGGGGAGTCTTCGTCTTTGTTGCATCACAAAACAGCGAGATAGTGATTGTTTGGCGAATTTGCAGCGGTGGATAAATCGCAGGATGAGCAGTTTTGACGATGTGTTCTTGTGCGGCCATGTCTGTGCGTCTCTGTGCACGACTGCAATCCAGGGACAAGCGTGCCTCGGCCACAGAAGACTTGATGCCCAAGTTTTCCCGGAAACGCCCCGTTTCACTTTTCTGACAGACATAACCTCTACAAAGCTTTCTTCGTCTCGAACCCCCCCCCCCCCCCCCCCCCCCCCCCCCCCCCCCCCCCCCAGAGTTATAAATTAAAATATATTAAAAAATTATATATACATATTACAGCACTTGCCTGAATTTTGCCACGAGTACACGTACGTTTGTGCGTCAGCCTCCCGGTTTTCTGAGTTGAGACGGCACGAGCCGGCACGCACGTTTCCACATCCGCTGGTAACCCCTGAGTTGGGCTGCGTATTTGAGCATTCCATTTGTTGAGATTTTACTACGCACCACGGTATCTCGTACTGCTTGCCAGAGGTGGGAGCCTTGCCACCCAGCACCACCAACGCAACAAAAAAATCACCGACATTTGTGCCATCATTCCTCCACCTCCGTTTTCCACCAGAGCAGTGTACTTATGGTTAGCTCATGCTTCGTGGTGGCAGAAGTCTCATTCCAAATTCTGAGAGCAGCTTGCTTTCATCATCTGCCCAACGATGAAAATGCTACCTCTTGCCTTAAGCCCCAACAACACAAGCATGTCCTGTTATGCTCAAAGTTTGTAAAACGTGGACGCCCCAAAACATTCAGGACCATGCTGGATCATGTAGCCTGCAAGCCCAAACGCCGCATGGCCAAGCAGCTCCTGTTTGGTACAATGACTGCCATAAATTGACATTTTTACTTGGATGAGATGGGGCCACAGGTGGTTACAAGGAAGACCTGGCACTACGTTGATTTAACGACACTGATGCCAGTGGTCAGAATCTGCCTCTGTGAAGGCTGTTGAATGAAGCAGCCACGCTTCAGCAACATGCTTATGAACAGAGCACTGGTTTAAATTTAAGCAAGTTGGCCACAATGGGGAGCGCAGGTCACCTGTAACACCTGGGTCATACTTGTGACCCGTCCTGCCAATGAGATTTCCCCACTAACTCGTAGTCTCATTGCACACTCAGCTTGGAGGAAGCAGTGTTAGGATGTTTTCACTACTTAATAGCAAACACCAGCTATCTACAGAGACCAGCCACGTGTCGTTGCTCTGGAGACCAGGAGATCGATGATGGATGTTCGGTCGCCACGTTGATGGCATTCGTCGCGACTTTCTTACTTAACAGTGGGCTGCGTGAAGGCTGCCATCTTCTACGCCAATGCGAGTTCAACCCCAATCAAGCTTCCAGCTGAATGGAGTTGAAAATAATTCGCAAACACCTTGTGAGACCCACCGTAGAAGATCCCTGGGTTTGACCTTCTACGAAGCTCATGGGTCAACCTTAAACCGCATCCACTGCGCAAACCATGGCAGATGCGGATACCTGATGCACAAATGGAAAATTAAGAGCTCTCCAGGGTGCGACTGTAGTCATCCAGAACATAGCATACAACATGACACAATGACCAATCCCCAAATACGAAGGAGACATCACAGGGATACACTGCACTACTCCCGACGCGGTTATCTGGCTTGACCATCTGAATTTGAAATTGTAGTTGTTGCTCTGCATCTACATCAACCATATGAATGAAGAAGAGACTAGGCGATCAACCTCTCATTGTCTACACAGCCAAGTCCAGTCTTGGCTCTGGTAAACCACAGGAAGCAGATTTCACAACCTTAAAGAGTTTTACTATTTTTTTTTTATTTCAGGTGTACACACACACGTTTAATAACGCATATATTCAATTAAATACTGTTCTTTACAAGACGCGTAAATTAAATGTTTTAACCCAGAACCATCACAATCCTGGTCCAATCTCCAACATGGCTATTATGAGCCCGTTCCGACCACTGCCATCCAGTGGCGTAACAGAGTTGGCATCAGCCCTGGTGCAAGGAATGAAATGAGGCCCTGTCCAGCTTCCCCCCCCCCCCCACCTTGGTAGCCCGGCGCCTGGACCCCCGTGGCCCGTAGGCCCTAGTGCAATTGTACCACCTGTACACTTGATCGCTAAACCCAATGCTGCCATCTGTAACCACATGTTAGCATTTTATCTCAAGCTTTCATGACTTCTCAGATGTCTCAACATTCCTTAAATATACACGTGTGCCCCCACGTCTCTCAGTGTCCAATTGTCCATGTTTCTCCCAGTGGCCCCTGCGGAACCAGATGTTGGTGCGCCAGGGGACAGTGTCGATCTCTCAATGTTTCTGTATCACCACGTGTCCCCATCTATTCATGTTGCTGTGTCTCGGTGGGGGGCTGTCGATCACAATCCATCTCACGGTCACCCCATATCTCATGTCCCTGTGGCCTCATGTGCGCGCCCCCCCCCCCCCCCACCGGTATGTCCTCGTCTCACCATGTATCTGTGTATTTCCATGTCTCAGACAGCTATGGGGCTAGTGCCTCCGTCTCCGCATACTCAGGTAGCCTTACATCCACTCCCGTTCTTCCTGTGTTATGTCTACATGTCCCCATGTATCTGCGTCTCCGTGTCTCAATATGTCAGGGTCCTGTGGCCCCCGTGACTGAGTGTCCCAGTGAGTCATATTTCCATTAGGCTGTGTCTCAAGTGACCTGTGTTCACATATAGAGACATGACGTGCAATCCCACGTCATGTCTCAGTGAGGCGTGGGACGGTGGCCGTCCACATAGAAGTTCCGTGTTGCTCGAGGTAACGTGAGCTTTATGGACTCCAGGTCCCGGCGTAGGAGGATCTGGCAACTGAGCCTCGACGTCTCCCGCAGACCCGGGGCCATGTCCAGCAGATCTTCCTCCCTACATTCACCGCACACCCCATGTACTGTTAGTGTGCACCGGACAATACGCACGCAACAATCGATCAATTAGCCAATTATTCTTCCGTGATGGTTCTTTCTTCCACGCGAGTGAGGCCAGTTGCTTCTGAAAGATCTGCTGAGCCAAAGTTCCCTGGATCCACAAACAGGGAGTTTGGTCAGATGACATAATGGTTGCCTGTCCTTTTGGCGACTCTGGCACATGCTTATTATGAGTTACTGCCACGTGCTCATATTGTGAGCTGTTACTGTGCAGGGATAACCAGCTGAGCGCACGAAGCCAGAGCCCCCATTAACCAGTGGTCCCTGTGAATGCTATGCCTGGGTTAGATCTGGCAGGACAGTGAACTGCCATATTTTCCTCTCATAATGGTATCACCAACACGAACATCAAACAGTGTATGGAACCACGAGATGGGGTTCATTTGTATACATAACGTTCATAAATAGCATATATACACTCGCAATTATTAATTAGTTGTACATGCTGTAATAGGTTCACGAAAACCACAATGGCAAAATGATAATAATTTGCAGATCTTTGTCAATCGACTGCTGAATGGTCTTCCCATGCCGTGGTGATGAATGGGGAATCTTTAACGATATGTGCTACAACACACTCGTCGGTGTAAGTTGAAGGGGAGGAGTTGGGACCAGTTCAGATGTCACTCACCTATGATTTCAGACGAGGGTGGAAAACTAACTAAGGTCTCCACATTCTGCGATTCATCATGTCAATCGTGATATTCATATGTATCATGATTGACATGTTTAGTTTGTTGTCCTTCAAAATGCATACATATTCAACTCTCGACCTGGGCTCGAGAGTTGAAGATTATTACACAGTGGGCTTTGTGCGGTCGCTGCTATAACAGCACAGATAACTTAAACAAGCTCTCCTGGAGCCAAGTGCCAAGCAAGACCGATCGCGAGACCCCAGTCTCCCCCGAGCCGAGTCTCGGGTGCGTGCACCATGGTGGTGGGGTGGCATCGTAGCTCACGTTTCAGTGGGGCTAGGAAGCATGTCGTAGAATTTATCGTCTACGTAGACGTGACACGTGCAGCACGCAAGGGATGCTTCACAGGCACCTGGAACATCAACACGCACACACACAACATGCAGTGTGATACACAGATCCTCTGTGGAGCCTTAACAGACTGGTGAAATAAGTGCTGTTAACGAGCACCAATGAACGGTGATTTTGCACAAAGGGTGGAGGTATGACCAAATCCACACCAAGCCATCTGTCTCACCGGTGCTTTTCAGACACTGTGGCAAGTACTCGTTAAAGTTTGAAATAAAGACAGATTTAGATATAATTTGCCACTGATGTTACCAATGTCCGGGAATCAAATCCAGGTCACTGGGATCACAATGCAGTGAGTGAACCATCTACACCACCACTTTCCAAACATCAACTCCCACTCTCAGCATCCAGTGTGCATATTGTAGGGTTGCACACAAAACAAAGATCACCTGTATAACTTTTAACAGACTGTTGTGGAAAGTACTTTTCGCGAGTACATATGAAGGCCAAAACGGTAAACGAGGGGTTGGTGGCCAGCGCCACGCCTGGCCACCTTTGTATCCCCAGTGGCGATGTTTACACATCACACCAGATACTCATTTGAGGCCGAGTTGACCTAGGCGAGGTTCAGAACCGGTTCAGATAATCCTCACTGGTGTTGGCCGTGAGTGGGAATCGAACTCGGGTCGCCAGGTTCGTAGCGCAAACTGCTACACTGCCGCTCCCCATAAACGCACACACACACACGATTCCCCACCTCTCTCGCTCCCTGGGTCCTGTGTGTGTTATGGCATCACACACATAACCCCACTCTCTCTGGGTCACGTGTGCATGTTGTAGGGTCGCACCCTCAATGCTGATGCCGTGTCTCTGGGCCAGATACATCACATTGTCGCCGACTTTCCCAGCCACGCGCGTCACCTCCCCACTTCTCGACACAAACTCCACGTGTACACTGCACACACGAATACACATGGATATTAGCAACTACAGACACCATTCGTTGCTAAGTAATGGGCATCATCGCTGTGCATGTGCCAGTCTAGGTGCACTATGAATAAGCACATTGGCAGCTCAGGTGACAGAAATCGGTTATTTCTCAGCAGATCATGGTGTCCAGCAGATGCACCACTCATATCCCATACTGATGAATGGCAGCTGTTATCAGTATGTACAGGATGTATGTGTAACTTAGTGCATTTGTATGTGTGCATTTATAAGCCAAATTCATATTTAAACACGTGCATGTTTGTGCTATGTTTATGAAGAATGTGTCAAGACTACATTGCTATCAG